ATACTTCATATAATACCACAATATAGTCTGATTTAAAAAAAACAAAAAATGTGATGGTGAATGATAGTAGAAACATATGTTTCTACTACTACAAATACATAAAAACATGCAAAAAATATTGCATATACATGCAGTAGACACCAAAAATACCACACAACATATACCAAGGAACATATACCTCTTGCAAGGTAAAAAATAAAAATCCCAATCAGTGAGACATAAAATATATAAAATCAGTGCACAATATTTGTGAAAAAATCTGTGCAACAACCAGGGGCGGACTGACCATTTGGAAACTCGGGCAGTGCCCGAGGTCCTGGGGTCAGTAGTGGGCCCATGAGATGCCCCTGGTACCTTTTTCATAGGTTTTTTTGAGTTTGGGCAAGAACACAGGGGCCCCATGATCCCCTATTGCCCGGGGGCCCCATGAGTTGTCAGTCCGCTCCTGGCAACAACACAGATTTATAAATAGGATCAAACTGCAACGTCTGAACTGTGCTCATAAAGTCCAATAAGATGTGGATAATATCACCTTATCCAATTAGAGATGACACTCGTGCTGATAGGGTGTGACAGTGGGTAACTGCTGACACAAGACAACCCGACCACCGGCTAGGTAAGCCTCTCACCCCTAAAACTTTGAAACGTACGGGTCAAAGCGTTTTGTAAGATCCCACTCTCAGATCCTTCAAGTATGCAGCCACTCCACTGATCTGCTCCCACCACACACAAATCTCCATCTACAAGGTCAGCAATCTGATAATGGCTGCTCTGCAGATAGGGTAAGATACAACGCCAATATCTCACTTAAAACATAAAACACATCTGTCAGCATGCAGGGTCCAATTAGATGAGTGCAGTTTCCCCTTCCCCAGAAATAGCACAGCATTGCAGTCAGGGTGGGGAGACTCCGCAAGACTGTATGCCTCACCCCACCCTGACTGCAATGCTGTGCTATTTCTGGGGAAGGGGACTCTGTGCACTCATCACACACACTATCCGCACGAGGGACATCTCTAATTGGATAAGGTGATATTATCCACATCATATTGGACTTTATGAGCACAGATCAGACGTTGCAGTTTGATCCTATTTATATATTTATGTTGTTGCACGGATTTTTTCACAAATATTGTGCACTGATTTTATATATTTTATGTCTCACTGATTGGGATTTTTATTATTTTACCTTGCAAGAGGTATATGTTCCTTGGTATATGTTGTGTGGTATTTTAGGTATCTACTGCATGTATATGCAATAATTTATTGCATGTTTTTAATGTATTTGTAGTAATAGAAACATATGTTTCTACTATCATTCACCATCACTTTTTTGGGGGTTTTAAATCAGATTATATTGTGGTATTATATGAAGTATCATATGCATGATTATCATTTTCACTGATGTTATATTTATATTGTGGCACCAAGTGAGCATTATTGGTTTATTTCATGGATATTTTACAGTGTGTCAATATGTATTTGTGGATGTTTATATTTATTCATTAATTTTTGTGAGTAGCGCTACATTGTGATTTATTAATTTATATATACAGCTCATAGATATATGATTTAATGTTAACAACTTCTCTTGGTAGGTTAAATTTTCTGAGATTTATAGCACAGGAGGTTAACACCACTATTGCATAGAATGTATACCCACAGTTGATCTAGTGGAAGGCAAAAAAAACCAGCAAAGCATGATCCAATTTGCTCCTGCAGGGAAAAAATTCCTTCCTGATCCCCCGAGAGGCAATCTGATATTCCCTGGATCAATGTCACCTATAAATGTTATATCCAGTTATATTTCTGTGTATCCAAGAAAGAAGCCAGGACTTTCCTACAGCACTCCACTGAGCTGGCCAGAACCAACTCTGGAGGGAGTCTATTCCACATTCTCACAGCTCTCACTGTGAAGAAACCTTTCCATGTTTGGAGATTAAATTTCTTTTCCTCCAGATGTAATGAGCGCCCCCTTGTCCTCTGTGATGACCTCAGGGGGAATAGCTCTAAACCGAGTTCAATATATGAACCACTGATGTATTTATACATGGAGATCAAATCCCCCCTTATGTATTATACATGGAGATCATATCCCCCCTTATGTTTTATACATGGAGATCGTATCCCCTTATGTATTACTCATGGTGATCATATCCCCCCTTATGTATTATACATGGTGATCATATCCCCCCTTATGTATTATACACGGAGATCATATCCCCCCTTATGTATTATACACGGAGATCATATACCCCCTTATGCATTATACATGGAGATCATATCCCCCCTTATGTATTATACATGGAGAGCATATCCCCCCTTATGTATTTTACATGGAGATCATATCCCCCTTATGTATTATACATGGAGATCATATCCCCCCTTATGTATTATACATGGTGATCATATCCCTCTTATGTATTATACATGGAGATCATATCCCCCCTTATGTATTATACATGGAGATGATATCCCCCCCTTATGTATTATACATAGAGATCACATCCCCCCTTATGTATTATACATGGTGATCACATCCCCCTTATGTATTATACATGGAGATCATATCCCCCCTTATGTATTTTACATGGAGATCATATCCCCTTATGTATTTTACATGGAGATCATATCCCCCTTATGTATTATACATGGAGATCATACCCCCCCTTATGTATTAAACATTGAGATCACATCCCCCCTTATGTATTTTACATGGAGATCACATCCCCCTTATGTATTTTACATGGAGATCACATCCCCCTTATGTATTATACATGGAGATCATATCCCCCCTTATCTATTATACATGGAGATCATATCCCCCCTATGTATTATATATGGAGATCATATCCCCCCTTATGTATTATACATGGAGATCATATCCCCCCCTTATGTATTATACATGGAGATCATATCCCCCCTTATGTATTATACATGGAGATCATATCCCCCCTTATGTATTATACATGGAGATCATATCCCCCCTTATGTATTATACATGGAGATCATATCCCCCCTTATGTATTATACATGGAGATCATATCCCCCCTTATGTATTATACATGGAGATCATATCCCCCCTTAAGTATTATACTTGGAGATCATATCCCCCCTTATGTCTTATACATGGAGATCATATCCCCCTTATGTCTTATACATGGAGATCATATCCCCCTTATGTCTTATACATGGAGATCATATCCCCATTATGTATTATACATGGAGATCAAATCCCCCCTTATGTATTATACATGGAGATCATATCCCCCTTATGTATTATACATGGTGATCATATCCCCCTTATGTATTATACATGGAGATCATATCCCCCCTTATGTATTATACATGGAGATCATATCCTCCCCTTATGTATTATACATGGAGATCATATCCCCCTTATGTATTATACATGGAGATCATATCCCCCCTTATGTATTATACATGGAGATGATATCCCCCTTATGTATTATACATGGAGATCATATCCCCCTTATGTATTATACATGGAGATCATATCCCCCCTTATGTATTATACATGGTGATCATATCCCCCCTTATGTATTATACATGGAGATCATATCTAGAGATGAGCGAAGTATTCAAAAATTCGATTCGACTGATTCGGCGAATTCGTGGAAAATATTCGATTCGAGTCGAATATATTCGCTGTGAATTTAACTTAAAAAAGGGTGTTTCTAGGCTTCAGAGATACTTAATATTAGTGCAGAACACTGTACCTTTAATTTAAATGCCCTTGGAGTCTGCTGGGGTAGAGAAATAATACTGTCACTCAGTATGACATGCAGATGAGTGCCGTCGATCTTAGAATCACCGCACACTTCACTCATTTGGCCAGTCACGGGGCCAAAACCAGTGTTTGGAGCCACAGTGTGGCGGTGGAGGCAGCAGCAATGGGAGGCCATACAGCAACCTATGACAAAATGGAAACCAGCAGGAGTGTGAGGAGACCTCAAAGTGGCACATGGCAGAGTGTGGCGATGGAGACAGCAGCAATGGGAGGCCGTACAGGGACCCATGAGAGACTCTGGACCTGGCAGCAGCATGAGGAGGCGGTATATAGGAGCCCATGGCAGATTAGGGGCCTGGCAGCAGCTATGGGAGGCCCGTAATCTGCCAGCACCCTATGTCAAAAAATTCAACACACCAGCAGTGTGTGAGGAGACCTGAAAGTGGCACATGGCAGAGTGTGGCGATGGAGACAGCAGCAATGGGAGGCCGTACAGGGACCCATGAGAGACTGTGGACCTGGCAGCAGCATGAGGAGGCGGTATAGGGGCCCATGGCAGATTAGGGGCCTGGCAGCAGCTATAGGAGGCCCGTAATCTGCCAGCACCCTATGACAAAAAATGGAACACACCAGCAGTGTGAGGAGACCTGAAAGTGGCACATGGCAGAGTGTGGCGATGGAGACAGCAGCAATGGGAGGCCGTACAGGGACCCATGAGAGACTGTGGACCTGGCAGCAGCATGAGGAGGCGGTACGGGGGCCCATGGCAGATTACAGGCCTGGCAACAGCAATGGGAGATGCCCGTAATCTGCCAGCAACCTATGACAAAATGGAACCCAGAAGCAGTGTGAGGAGACCTGAAAGTGGCACATGGCAGAGTGTGGCGATGGAGACAGCAGCAATGGGAGGCCGTACAGGGACCCATGAGAGACTGTGGACCTGGCAGCAGCATGAGGAGGCGGTATAGGGGCCCATGGCAGATTAGGGGCCTGGCAGCAGCTATAGGAGGCCCGTAATCTGCCAGCACTCTATGACAAAAAATTGAACACACCAGCAGTGTGTGAGGAGACCTGAAAGTGGCACATGGCAGAGTGTGGCGATGGAGACAGCAGCAATGGGAGGCCGTACAGGGACCCATGAGAGACTCTGGACCTGGCAGCAGCATGAGGAGGCGGTATATAGGGGCCCATGGCAGATTAGGGGCCTGGCAGCAGCTATAGGAGGCCGTAATCTGCCAGCACCCTATGACAAAAAATTGAACACACCAGCAGTGTGAGGAGACCTGAAAGTGGCACATGGCAGAGTGTGGCGATGGAGACAGCAGCAATGGGAGGCCGTACAGGGACCCATGAGAGACTCTGGACTTGGCAGCAGCATGAGGAGGCGGTATAGGGGCCCATGGCAGATTAGGGGCCTGGCAGCAGCTATGGGAGGCCCGTAATCGGCCAGCACCCTATGACAAAAAATGGAACACACCAGCAGTGTGTGAGGAGACCTGAAAGTGGCACATGTTTGGGGCATGATTCATGGCGGATTTAGTCAGTTGTGTCAGGAACTGGTGGTTTGAAATCCAGACTAATCCACGCCTGATTCATTTTCACAAACGTGAGTCTCTCCACACTTTGGGTGGACAGTCGTGTCCTCCGTGGAGTTGCAATACCTCCTGCCGCACTAAACACGCGCTCCGATGCCACGCTACTGGCCGGGCATGACAGCCTTTCAAGGGCAAATTCAGCTAGTTGGGGCCAAAGGTCAAGTTTCGTTGCCCAGTTGTCAAGGGGATTGTCTACCTCGGTTGGCAGGGTGCTGTCCAAGTAGGCCTAAGCCTGTTGTTTGAGGTCCTGCTCCAGGTCCACCTGATGCTGCTGCTGCTGCGGCTGGTTAGTAGTTTCCTCACTGCGCTGGTGAAGAAAGCTACTCATCATCGACTGCAGACTGAGGCAGCCGCTGCTGGTGGAGCTGCCACTGCTCCTACCACCCCACCCCTCCCCTGCTGCCATGGCAGCGGAACGCGAGCGCACAGGGCCCACAGTGTCTGAGGATGGACGTTGGCGCAGAAAGGCAGACACCAGCTGACTACATAGGTGGTTTTTTATAGTACGTTATTTTGGCCTCCCTCTCAGCAGGTGTGAAAAAGGCCACCATTTTTGAACGGTAGCGAGGGTCCAACAAGGTGGACAGCCAAAAGTCATCCCTCTGTCTGATGGTTATTATTCGGCTGTCGGTACGCAAGCAAGCGAGCATGCTATGGGCCATTTGTGCCAAGGAATGCGAGGGACTCCCTGCCTCCATCTCCACAGCATACTGCCACGGTGCGTCTGGGTCCTCTGTCTCCTCTTCCTCCTCCTCTACCAGATGCTCCTGCTCCTCCACTCCTGTCCGCTGAGTGGAAAAACCACCCATTTCACTCAATAATTCCTGAGCACCAATGTCCTCCTCTACCTCCTCCTCTTCTTCCTGTCCTGCCCCACAGGGGTCATGTGGCGTTGAGATCTGTGCGCCACGTCTACCGCACCCTGACCAGCCATTATTAACGCATTTGTTCCAGGACGTGCAACAGAGGAATGACGTCGTTCATCCCATAGTCCTGCCGACTCACAAATAGCGTGGCCTCCTCAAAGGGCCTGAGCAAGCGCAGGTGTCACGCATGAGCTGCCAATGGCTGACATCTAAGTTACACAGGGAGTACCTTTATCCGCTTTTAACATCAGGAAATCTGTGATGGCCTTTTGATGTTCGTAAAGGCGGTCTAACATATGTAGGGTTGAATTCCACCTTGTTGCAACGTCACAGCATGAGGAGTCGGTACGGGGGCCCATGGCAGATTACGGGCCTGGCAGCAGCAATGGGAGGCCGGTAATCTGCCAGCACCCTATGTCAAAAAATTCAACACACCAGCAGTGTGTGAGGAGACCTGAAAGTGGCACATGGCAGAGTGTGGCGATGGAGACAGCAGCAATGGGAGGCCGTACAGGGACCCATGAGAGACTCTGGACCTGGCAGCAGCATGAGGAGGCGGTATATAGGGGCCCATGGCAGATTAGGGGCCTGGCAGCAGCTATAGGAGGCCCGTAATCTGCCAGCACCCTATGTCAAAAAATTCAACACACCAGCAGTGTGAGGAGACCTGAAAGTGGCACATGGCATGAGACACTGTGGACCTGGCAGCAGCATGAGGAGGCGGTAAAGGGGCCCATGGCAGATTAGGGGCCTGGCAGCAGCTATGGGAGGCCCGTAATCTGCCAGCACCCTATGTCAAAAAAATTCAACACACCAGCAGTGTGAAGAGACCTGAAAGTGGCACATGGCAGAGTGTGGCGATGGAGACAGCAGCAATGGGAGGCCGTACAGGGACCCATGAGAGACTCTGGACTTGGAAGCAGCATGAGGAGGCGG